TTAAGAATAAAATCAAAATTAAATTTGTGAAAGTGCAAGGATGTGTCAATCAAACCCGTCTAAAAATATGAAGTTTTAATAACTTTAAGATGAAATAAAATTTTTGATATATTTTCGTGTAAAATGCTACTAAAATATATGTCGTGATATTATACAGAAAAAATTAACTTCAAATCTGTGTTCATGCACCTTGAATATGTGACAACATAGATCTAGGGTTGCTACATTTATTTTGGAACAGTGATTGAATAAATTGAAAAGCAATATCTTTCATATGCCAGAAATGGTATGATTTGTTGTAAAAAAAAATGTTGTTGGTTGTGGTGGTGGTTAGGGGAAGGGGTAAGGACAATCCACTATCTAGTAAATACTTAGTGGCCTACCAGTCCTTAAGTCCTCTCTATCAATATATCTATAAACAGACAATATATTATTGCTTGACCCAACCCAAAGAAGGTGTGTTTTGTGATCATAGCTCAGACACTGCGTTAAATTTTTCCCAAGTTCTTGTCTACTAAGTAAACTTGCCAGGAAGTGGCCATCTTTGTCAATCATCTGCACTGCATTTGTATAATTATCATACACCAAAATGTGTTAAAATGCGTCTGTACAGATGGCAATAGTAGTAAACGGTAACTCTGATTTAGACCCTGTGTAGGTAAAACGATGCCTTCCTCCATGGTCTGTCACCACTACGGCACTTTGGGTCGAATCGGTCACAATTACGTTTCCGTTACGATTTTCTGTTACAAAGATGGGACGTTTGTATAGTTCATGACCTTGATGATGTTGTTGGATATTGTTGACATGTTGTCCCTCACTGTTATATCGAGTTATCTTGCCCGTGTACGTAGCATGTCTCACGGTTCCGACCAGCAGATCTCCAGTTGTATGAGAACAATAGACGCAACATGGTTCCCACGGTTCTCTTTTTGATACTATCGTAGTTTTTACGTTATAGTCTGCAGAGAGTCAATGTTGCCTTCCTTGTCTATGTAAATAAGTTCACCGTCACTAGTCACAGAATGGATTCCCCACCAACTTTCTTTGAGCACATCCGTCACGTGACACATAACATCTCCAGCTGTGTTTGTCGAATAGATATCGTCATCATCACTGACCCAGATCCGCTCCGTGTTCCAGGCCTGCTCCGAAACCCAGGCACGCTCTGATGTCAGGGTGGAAATGTGATTTACCGAACTAATACCTCTCACCGCCACAGTCTTCTGTAACACAGGTGTAGGCATAAGTTTAAGAAGACATTTATTTTCAATTTTTCTCTTTCCTGTTTGATCTATAATTCGAATTTCTCCTAATCCTTCAGTCAAGTCCTCTATGTTGACTTTTGTATTTAAGGAAGGAAAGGCTTGCTTTGTAAGGAAACAAGTGGCCATCATCTTATTTCTAGAAATATTCTTCATAAATGATAGACATTCTAATGATCTCTTGGTATGTTGTTCCGTTTTCTGGTCAAAGATCTCAAGGATCGTAAGATGTCTTTTTATTTTCGTTCTTTGTTTCAGTAATCTATAAATCATTTTACAACTGTACCTGATTGTAACATCACATATCACATCATCAATAAGATTTTTAATTCTCTGAGCTTTTGTTGACATCAATGTCAAATGATCGTAAATTTCTTTACACAATTTTTTCTTATCAGAGTGGATTTTTGCTTGAAGAAAACAACTAATATAGAGAAGCTCGCTTCTGATGTTGCGAATGATTTCTTTGTGTTGTTGTCGGTTTGTTTCATACGCCTCCTTGATATCCAATATTTTGTGTTGTTTGTGATTTTCACATTGGGAACAAACTGGAAGTTCACAGGACTTACAGTACTGTTCATAGATCCTTTTTGGATGTCTTATACAGGTTTCTTGTTTTATTACAACATCATGGTGCAGTGTATCTAGACTCATAACATGGATCTCTTTACAGTTTAGAAAAAGGCTGTGTTTACAGGTCTCGCAGTAGAATTCTGTATCCTCTGGACATTGAGAGCAGTGATTCACTCTACACTTGGTGCTCAATGTTTCCGTCTTCATGATGTTGGAATCTACCATAGGTTTACAATCTATAAAAAAAAAAAAACAAGATGTGTTTGTAAAACACTATGCGCCCGGCGGCAACAAAATTCGAAAAAGCTATTTTTAACATATAGACAACAATCAAGGTCACAAGCTTAAGGTCATTGACCTTGGCGTCATTTGAAAGAACTAAATTAGTGGAGTATGCATACCAAATATGAAGTCTCAATCTTTCTTGGTATAAAAGTTATTTTGAAGGTTCAAAAAGCTATATTTAGCATATATGTCACAGTCAAGGTCACAAGGTCATTGACCTTTTTTGTCATTTTAAAGAGCTCTAAAGACCTTTAGTGGAATACGCATACCAAATATAAAGTCTCTATCCTTCCTGGTTCAAAAGTCATGGCGAAGGTTAAAAATTGCATACAAAAGATATTTTAGCACATAGGTCAGTCAAGGGCACAAGCTCATTGGCCTTTGTGTCATTTGAAAGAGATTTATTAGTGAAGTATGCATACCAAATATGAATTTTCTATCTTTCATGATTCAAAAGTTATAGCGAAGGTTAAAGTTTGCAGACAAACAAACAAACAAACAAACAGACAGTCAGATAGACAGGCAGACAGATGGGCATTACAAAAACAACATACGCCTCGGATCTATCGATCCAGGCGCATGAAAAGAAGAAGTAGATATAGTACATTCATACAAAGGTTACACAAAATGAAGAGTAAAATGCCTGGAATTTTTTGTAAATACATGTATGTCATGACTTTAACAAAATCAGTAATTATGAAAATATTGGCATCCCATTTTTTATAGCAGGATAAGTTGGTTCAGAAGCACTGCCGTGGTACTGTTTCAGCACTTGATTTACATTGATTCCATTTTAGGATCAAATTATCGTGAACAAAAGTTAATGACTATAATTTCAAACAGGTCCAGTACAATTGATAGATTAAGCTTGCATTGCTTCATTAAGCTGTTAAGAACATCTTAATAAATGCAGCAGTTTTGCATAAAAATCATAGACAAAAAGTCGAAAGTACATATGCTTGACTATTATATACAATCATGGACTACCAAAAAACAACCCAAATCAAAGATAGTTCCAGTGCAGCTTTCACATACTTTTAAGCAAAAGATGACTTCCATTGTTTGGGTAACTGCATACAGTCTTGATTGCTTTGGGTCCTAGAGGTTTAAATGGTTGCTTCACACTGTGCTGAATTATTGTACCTATCAATTAATATGTTATTAATAACCATAATTGACTTTCTTCTTAATTATCTTTTCTTGTTGCCGATTCCATTACTTTCTTGCCTAAAATCCACAACCTGGAGGACCAGGCTATGATTTTGTTTATAAATGGTTTACTACCTTTAATTAATAACTAATAGAGGGGCTTTTTCTATAACGAGTGACATGCTTCACCTACAATACATACATCACGGAAATAAAGGTCCATATGAACAATGGCCAAACACAGCCAAGCTCAGATTAGCTGCAAAACAGTAAGGCTCTGCTTGAGAAATTTTCGGAATAAGGAAAAAGCAAAGAGCCACAGATCCCAGCATTGTAAAAAATTTTCGATTTAAGTCGAAGGCTTTTTTGTCGCTTACTTCAGGCATTTGTCCGTGTTATTTATGCTTTCCTTCGCTTTTAGAATGGTATTCGATAATTAATCATATATATTACTCCTACAATCCTACCTTTAAACGGTCCTAAACAGTCCATCATAGTTTTGGAATGTCAGTTTAAAAGATTCCAATTTCGACGTTGAAACTTTATAACCCCACACATTCTTTTGGAGTTGATGACAATGATTTCAATACCAAAACCACATGCAAGCTTTTTAGAAGTATTCCAATAATAAAACAAATATAGAAATGAATTTTACATTCTGTTTTCAAACACATTAAACTAATTTATTGATTTTGAAATATGCTTTCTAAAGTTTTTTTTAGATTTCCATTTTTGTAGAAATTTCAAATAATACACAAACAAATTTTATTAAACTGACCTAAAATATACCTACAACATGTATGCAAATGTCTTTAAAATAAGCAAACTCCCGATACGACGAAAATCAAAAGACAATCAATTACATGTAACTATATGCAATTTTGAAATAGTTTTGTCATATAAAGTTCATTTTTGTCATTGCATGATTTTGAAAGGAAAGGGTCATAAATACATCTAGATGTTGAAATAATATATCTAGACTACATTGAAAAGAAGAGAAAAGACTGATAATTTTGTGTACAAACTATCTGATGAAAATTTGTTTATTTTTAAACAAAAAGTGTATATAGAAATGAACTAAATTGTCGCTCACATTAATGGTATTATCTACACTACAAATATGGATAGTAAATCTACGTCTACTCGTCAATACATCAAAAGCTATATTTCTAGTGTAATTGGTAGTAGTATAAGGAGCCTGGATGGGGGGTTCAACTGAGTGCACTTTTGGGGTTGGGGGGGATGGGGGTTCAACCAAGTGCACTTTTGGGGTTGGGGGGATGGGGGTTAAGGGATGCAGCCCCCTTTGGGGGGTAGGCAGGTGGGGGAA